TCTATTCTCTGCAATTGTGGTCCGGGGTATAGCTAATCCCTGGGGGCACCTAGAATGACACAACATCACCTTAACTTGGGAAGGGAGAGGGAGGATGAAGTAAAAGAGGGAGATGATAGACCACGGGCTGCCCTCTTAGGGAACAGTCATCGAATCCAGGACCTGTGTCTGCCCCCTCCATGTCTCTCTCAGGCAAGTCCCAAACCTGGTGTGCCAAGGATGCAGGCTGTTAGCTGTCCTATTTTGGCGTGGGGAGGGGGTGCAGGATAAAGAAGAGAGGACCTTGTCCTTCCTCCTCACTGGGATTTGTGAATGAAGGGGTCCACGCTGAGAGATGCAATTCCTTGAAGACTTCTTAGGAATTTCAGAGATTTGTATTGGTTCATTTTATCTTCTTTTCCTAATCATGCAAGCCTTGCTGTACACTCACGAGGGTGGACATGTTTTTTTTAAGTGGCATCGAGTCAGTTCTGACTCATAGCGACCCTTTATACGGTTTCCAAGGAACAGCTGGTGAGTTTGAACCACCGATCTTTCAACTCAAACTGACCTTGTGTTTAAGTGCTTATCCTACAGTCCCTTCACAAAGACTCTTCTTGTTACCTACAAGACACCTAATTTTTCAGAACATTTCAAGTCCATGGACCTTTTAAACGATGAAGGACAAGCCCTATGTGGGACTCTGAAGTGTTTGAAGTGAAGTATTTGTACAAATCAAAAATACAATTTATGACAAATTCATGAAGGATAAGGTGGTCTGACTAGCTATGTTTCCACTAAAATCTTTTTTAAATACCTTGATTCTCTTTCTGTTCCCGGATAGGGCATTAAGCACATGTGCTGGCCCTTCCTTATCTGACCAGGACCCTGCATGTTTCAGGGCTGCCTTCTTAACAGTGTGACTATATTTGACCTAGAACAGTTTGCTGTCTAATCAACTCCACCTCAGAGCCACTGCATGTATGTTCATAGGGTTTTCAATGACTGATTTTTCAGAAGTAGGTCTCCAGGTTTTTTATTTATTGATTTATTTTGAAATCTGCCTCTAAGTACATTATTCCTTTTCCCTCTTTTTACTTTATTTTGTAGTTGTTGCTGCTTCTGATGTTGTTATTTTTGTTGTTATGGGTTGGTATCTCTGGCTCCTATTTTTAGTCTTATGGATTTGTTATAGGAGTCCTGGTGTGGCACTGCGGATTAATGAGCTGGAATGTGAGGTTGGTTTGAACCACAAGGTCGGCAGTTCAAGCTCCAGCTACTACTCGGAAGCCCTGTACAGGGTTGCTATGAGTAGGAAGTGATTCAAAGTCACTTAACAACAACAATAACAAATGTTTTTTATGAGTCCTGGTGTGGCACTGTAGGATCAGCATTGGACTGTGAACCACAGGGTCGGTAATTCAAAGCCACCAGCTGTTCCTTGGAAACCCTATACGGGGTCATTACGAGTCGGAACCAACCCAATGGCATTTAACAACAACAACAAAGGTTTAATATGCAAACCTGGGTTGAGTTCTGGGTGATATTGTCATGTATGTTAGTCTTAGGTTATTATCAGCTGTTGTTGGTTTTCTGTCCAAAGAACTCTTTTTAGTTTTTTTTTTTTAAGGTTGGTCTGGTTTTAGCAAATTCTTTCAATTTCTGTTTATTTGGAAATGTCCTAAATTTGCTGTCATATTTGATCCACAGTTTTGCTAGATATGATTTTTGGTTGGCAATTTTTTCTTTCAGAGTTTTTTGTATGCCATCCCATTGTCTTCTTGCCTGTATGGTTTTTGCTGAGAAATCAGAGCTTGGTCTTATTACTTCTCCTTTGTAGGTAACTTAATGTTTCTTAAGCTGCTCTCAGGATTCTTTCCTTGTCTTAGGTTTTGAAAAGTTTGATTCTGGCATGTTTTGGTGATTTTCTTTTTGGGTCTATCTTGTTTGTTGTTGTTAAGTGCTGTCGAGTCGGTTCCAACCCATAGCAACTCTGTATAGCATTTCCAAGGAGCAGCTGGTGAGCTTGAACCACCGACCTTGCAGTTCAAATGACTTTGCAGTCTGGTGCATTAACCCACAGTGCCACACCGGAACTCTTGTTTAGAGCTCCTTTAACTTACTGAATGACTATCTTCTTGTCTTTCACGATGTTAGGGAAGCTTTCTTCTAACAGTTCTTAGACAATTTTCTCTGTTTTTCTTCTTTTTTGTCACTGTCTGTTCTGAAGTTCCAATCACATGTAAGTTATTCCTCTTGATCTTGTCCCACATAAATCTTAGGCTTTCTTCAGATTTTTTCATGATTTTTCTAATTGCTCCTCTGGCAGATGAATGTTGAGAGATTTGCCTTCAAGTTCAGTAATTCAGCCTTCCATTGGTTCAATTCTTTGCCCTTCCAATGTACTATTTCTGAATTCTTAGTATTAATTTTCTGGCTTTTTACTTGTAGAAATTGTTTGTGTTTATTGTTGCTGTTGTTTAAATTATCAGCTTATACTTAAATTCTGATCATTCATCTGTGAGTAGGATGCTAAGGGTGAAAAAAATTCAGCAAAAACTCCATGAACGTTTTTTATGATATTCTTTACCATTCATGTGCTGAGATAAATAAGGCTTTATCCCTCTCTCCAGAAAGATTTCAGTCTAGAGAAAACTCTCATTTGTTTGATGATTTATGCGGACGAAGTTCTTGTTAACTACAGTTTAGCATTATTGCCCAGATGCAGTATAGCCATTCTGGGTGATTCATATAAAATCGTTTGTAATGCTCATAATTATTGGAAAATTCCAAGGACTAATTAAGAATTGATGAGTTTTTAATGCCTTTAATTTTTGCCTCTGAGATGATTAAATGGGGTTATTGAGGTTGCAGAGCCAAGAGGCTCATAGGATATCCAGTTCTGGCTTTATTTGCATCACCCTACATCTCTCTGACTCTCTGTCCTTCTAGGTCAACTTCCGAGGTCAAAACATCCAGCTCATCAGAGTCCGGAATCCTTGGGGCCAGGTTGAGTGGAACGGGGCATGGAGCGACAAGTCAGTACCCTTGCCCTATCTCTGCTTCTCCCTGGGCGTGTGGGCTAGGACTGGCTGTGTACCAACATGGCCTTCCTTATCCTCTTTCAGCTCTCAGAGCCTCACTCAGCCCATTTCAGTCCAACTGGATTCTCAGGAAAGGCTTTTAGAAGAGCCCCTTAGCTTTCCATGTGATTGTACTCGTGTCACAGCCCATAAGAACATATAATGTTACACCTTGTCTGTCATTATGAAAGGTTTCGTCTCCATTAAATTGTGAGTAACTCCAGTAAGGAATGTATAGGCATGTGTGCATGTATGAATATGTATGTGTTCATCTGTATGTAGTATGTAAGGAGCTCTGGTAGCATAGTGGTTACGAATCGGGCTGTGAACTGCAAGGTCAGCAGTTCGAAACTAGCAGCTGTTCCACGGGAGAAAGATGAGGGTTTCTGCTCCCATAAAGATTTACAGCCTCGGAAACCCTGTACAGGGTCGCTATGAGTCGGAACCGACTCCACGGCACATAACAGCAACATAACTCAATGTAGTATGTATGTATATGTGCATGACTGTACATGTGTATGTATGCCCATGTGTGTTTGGGGTGGGGTAGGACACAGTGGCAATGAATATTTTGGGTATGGGAATTCTTGAAACATTAAAGATCAAGTAACAATGATCAGCACAGAAATAAAGAAAGTAAAGCAAGAAATTGTCCTATTATGGGCACTTCCTTATGTGACCCCATCCCCACCCCAATTCCACCCACTTCTGACTTATGAACATGGTTAGGTTCCAGAGACCAACTCATTATATGAAAATCACTGTTATGCAAAAATGGAAGATTACCATATCAGATCACAAATGTAAGATGATTGCCAAATTACATCATTACCTCACTGCCAAATTACATCATTACCTCACTGCCGCCAAACCACTGAGAATCATGGCCCAGCCAAGTTGATGCATAAGCTTAACAATCATCGGCATGTTACTCTACCCTCCCGTCTCAGTGTTCTTTACTGTCCGACATTTGTATTAATATGAAAAACAGACAGATGGTAGATGCTTTTGTTGTTGTTGTTTTTAACCACTGTTTTAAGTTTAAAATGTTGTCTAATGAGATCATTAAAATGTAAGAAAAGAGTGTATAAGCAAGGTCTGCTTTTCCTGTGTGTCCCCTCTTGGTCTCTTATTTCCAAGAAGAATGGACATTTTCGCCTTCACTTCTATGTAGAAGGTAGGGTTCACCCTGTGACTGGGAGCATGGGAAAGTTTGGACGTGCCCTTGACAGCACCTGCCCTGAACTGTTTCTCCTCACTCAGCCAGGCTCTCTGCTGTCTTGGACACCAAAAGATCCTTCCTTGCTTCTCCCACCACCCCTATCCCACCCTGTCAGGTTCTTGTTGTTATGTGCCATCAAGTCAGTTCCAACTCATACCAACCCTGTATAGGGTTTCTGAGGAACAGCTGGTGGATTGAACCACCGACCTTGCAGTTCAACCCAACATTGCAGTTGAGTGCTTATCCTACAGCACCACACCAGGATTCCCCAAAGCAAGTCTAGAGAGCAAGTCCAAACAGAGCCATCATTGTCCTCAGTTCATGCAAAGCTATGAGGCCACTCACCGTGTGTTTGTCAAGACTTCATTAACCAGGTTCCAGCATTGGGGAAGGGTCTACTTGTCCTTCCTCACCCACTTCCTGGTATCTGCCTGCTCAGAATCAAGGGTATGAATGGGGACTAACATCAAAGTAGAAAACAATTTGGCCAAAATTAGGCTTCCTATCATAATAAGGCCTACAGTGTCCCCTGGTTTAAACAAAGCAGTCATACAAGGAAAAGGGCTACACCGAGAAATACAAAAAGTACATTTTTGCTGGAAGCAAACTCCTCTTCCTCTCGCACCCAGCACCCAACACCCAGGAGTGGTAAGAGCAAGTCTCCATACTGCCTCCTCAGCCTGGCCACACGGCTCTGAGAACAGAGTTAGAAACACTGCATAGCCTACCAGGTGGAGGGGCTACATGTGAGCTGCTTAGAAAGTTGTTGCTGTTGTTGTTGTTAGGTGCCATTGAGTTGGTACTGACCCATAGCAACCTTATGCACAGCAGAACGAAACACTGCCTGATCCTGGGCCAAATTGTTGCCACATTTGAGCTCACTGATGCTGCCACTTGGCCAATGCATCTCGCTGGTGGTCTTCCTCTTTTTCTCTGATCCTCCACCTTACCAAACATGATTTCCTTCTCCAGTGCCTGGATTCAGTCCTCCTGAATTGGACTATTCCCACTCCTGCGCCAGTGAGCTAGAGAGAAGGCCTCCAGTCTTGGCCCTGACTCTCCTATTAATTCAGGATCTACAGGGTATAGAAGAAGTAGGCACCGCAACCTTAACATGAGAGTAAACCAAAGTAGTTGCTGCATCTTGGTGATCCCTTACGTGTTAGAGGAGAACTGTGCTCCCTGGGATTTTTCAATGGATGATTTTTCAGAAGTAGGTCATTGGGCCTTTTCTTCTGAGACATCTCTGGGAGGGTTCAAACTTCCAACCTTTCGGTTAATAGTCGAACACTTAATCAATTGCACTGCCCAGGGACTCCATAAAATGATAGTTGTTGTTAAGTGCCATCAAGTCAGTTCCAACTCATAGCGACTTTGTATAGGGTTTCTAAGGTGCGGCTGGTGAACTTGACCTGTTGACCTTGCAGTTCAAGTCAGCCTTGCAGTCCAGTGCATTAACCCACAGCTCCATGCTAGAACTCCGACACTATAGTTGGTGTTGTTAAGTGCCATCCAGTAGGTTCCGACTCATAGACACCCTGTATGGGTTTCCGAGGAGTGGCTGGTGAGCTTGAATCGCCAACCTTGTGGTTCAAATTAACTTTGCAGTCCAGCACATTACCCTGCAGCACCAACCAGGACTCTTATATGACAGTAGTTACGACTTAATCTGAACTCTGCAGGCAACTGTGGAGTAGTAGAAAGCCAGTGAACTTGGAGTCAGAACTGCCAAGCTCGGGGGATAGTCCCTCACTAGGTCTTTCTTATGAGCATGTCGCCTTGGCTACCTGAGTGACTTTATCTGTGAAGTGCTCATGTCACCTGGCCTCTCTGGGTGGCCTTATCTGTGAGTAGACATGTTTCCTGGCCCGTCTTGAGTGTCCTTGTTTGTGGAGTGGGCATGTCACCTGGCCTGAGTGACCTCAATCGATGAAATGGGCACACCTCATCTGTCGGAATGTCCTCAACTATGGAATGACCATGTCTATTTCATAGAAGTGTGAACTGAGTTCATAATGACATCATGCCTATAAAGATACTTGATACTTAACTCACAACCATGTACGTACCTTACATCTAAGGTCCTGTTTTGTGATCACCTTAAATGTATGTACTTATAAACTAAGAAGAGAGGCCACATGGTTTGCACCACACCAAAGAGCAAGTTGCTGTCAGTCATAGATTAAAGTCAATGACTCCCAGCGATATTTTTTACTTCCTTGCTGATGTTCCATTCTCAGGATGACGTTATATATGGGAGGTTCAAATAGGGTCTCTGGAGTTTTTCCCTCAGCACTGAATTGCTGACTAAGAGATGGACTTTCTGACCAGCCCTCAAGGGCTAGAGGCCAACTGTTCTACACATTTCTGGAGGCCAGAGAATAGTTACTGAGCTGGACTATTTCGTACGTAACCAACACATGCCTTGAGATTGGGGTTGTTTGGCCTGCTGTTTACGATTCTCTCCTACATGCTGACTTTGTTTACTTGCAGTTCTCCTGAGTGGCTTTCCGCTGGCCCAGCTGAACAGAAGCGTCTCTGTCACACTGCCCTTGATGACGGGGAATTCTGGTACGGTGCTTGTCTTGCTTTTCATTACTGCATTAAGACCCTAACGGGTATGAATGTGCCCATGACCATGTGTTTTAATCAAATACAACTTTGAAAAAGAGTTTTAAAAACTCCTCTATCCTTCTGTTGTTGTTGCTAAGTGCCATCGAGTCAGTTCCCACTCATCGTGACCCTGTATGAGGTTTCTGAGAGGCTGCTGGTGGGTTTGAACTGCTGACCGTATGGTTCACAGTCCAGTGCTGATCCTACAGCACCACACCAGAAGTAGGCTGACATAAAATTTAACTTTACTCATGTTTTGAGGGGACTCACCACATCTGAGTTTCTATCTGAGTCCCAAAGGGAGTTAATACAATCCGGGAAACAGTGTGTATGGGGAAGAATCTCTGGACCCAGTCTAGCATCTCTCCTGTAAGCTAGTCATGGCTTTGAGGCCAGATAACTCTGTTATTCATTGTGTCTACTTCCTTCCCTGCTCAACTGACTGACGGACTGTTGGAGGAACTACTTTGAGAGCATCCAAAAGAATAAGCCTAAATAGGAAGGAAATATGTCTGATCTAGTCTGTCCACAGTGCATAATCTTTTTGTTAAACTGAAAATTCTTACTAGGCCTTTGTCTCTGGAAGATTTTCACCACTCTCTGTCTTATTTCTTACCGTCTGGGTTCCGGAGACAATTGGCTTTTCCAATCCTGCAAGACCACAAATTTCTAGTTTCTAACTCAATTTTCCTTCATGCTCTCAAACCCGTCAATTCTTACCTAAGTTCCTCTCTTTCTTGTAACACCTTGTTAAAGACGACAAGAAAAAACTAGTACACACTAGCTTTTTCTATTCTTTTCCTCCAAGAGCAAAAGCACAGAAGGCATGTGTCCTGCCTTTCAAATGTTTACAGGCTAAGTCATCAATATTTTGTCACTGCATAGCATAGCATGGATATCCATTTCCTGACTTCAGCATTTTCTGCTCAACTTTAAGCTGATCTCACATTTTTAGAATGTTGTTACAGCAGCTGCATACTTCAAGCTACCAATACCTTGGGGTAACACCAGCTACTGTAAGTAGCAGTCCCAAAATGTCTAAGGCTCAAATACAATAAATAAAGTTTATTTCTTGTTGTGAGTCCAAGGAGGATGTTCCCATACTATATGTGATTTCTCCATGCAGTGATTCAGGGACCCAAACTCCTACTGTGTGGTCTCACCATCCCCTAGGGTCACATGATCATCTGTGTATAGCTAGCTGAAAAGAAAGAGAAAAGGAAAGACTAGAGAAAGTACACTAGTTCTTGGAATTCTTGATCCACAAGTAACAAACATCGCTGTTTACATTCATTGGGCATAGCTAGTCACCTGGCCACCCCTAGGTGAAAGGTAAAGTGTAGACCTCCGTCCCTGTCCCATTCTGGCTGATAAATCTCAGAGGTCTGCTAGCCATCTGTGCCTCAGGAACCATGAGGGCCTTAGGCCCAAGACCCTTGTGAAAACCATACAAGATGCTTAAGAGATTCACCAATTGTTGAAATGGGAATTAGAGAAAGATTTAACTTGAACTTTGACTATACAGAGAAGCTCTGCATGACATCTGGATTCACAGTTACAAGAACTAAGAAAGAAAAACTGAGCTCAAGAATTTCTTTCATCTCAGGGGTTGTGGAATGTAAACAGGAGGAAGAGCAAAGGATCGAGAGACATCCGAGGTCAGGCTAACAGAACATCTGGCTAAGGAAGAAGAACAGAGTAAACCAGAAAATCCGCAGAGTGGGAGACAGTCAAGCAGTAGGACCTTTTGGGTGATCCATTGCCCTCCCCATAAATACGTGTCTGTTAATCTAGAAGGAACTATACCTACCACCTGGATCTGAGATTGTGAGGCACTGTGCAATGCTCATCTGAATGCAGCCTTTGCTTCAAGGATCTGATATATAAGCCCTTTCCACTCCGTCTCCTCCCAGTTTCAGCTTTCATCTACCTAGGACAGTCTCTCTTCCCTCCATATTTCTAAATGTTCCCCTTTCTACTAAATTATTCATATTAATATATGTTATTGTTGTTGTTATGTGCCATGGAGTCGGTTCTGACTCATAGCAACCCTGTACAGGGTTTCCGAGGCTGTAAATCTTTACGGGAGCAGAAAGCTTCATCTTTCTCCCACAGAATAGCTGGTAGTTTCAAACTGCTGACCTTGTGGTTCGCAGCCTGATTCGTAAACACTATGCTACCAGAGTGCCTTATATTAATATATAAATGCTGTAGTTTCTCCCAACCTCATGGAAAAAAAGCATCTCTTATTCATTTTAACCACCAATGCATTTATCTGCTCTCTTCTATAGAAAAACATTCAATTAACACCTCTCATCCTTGCTCTCTCCAACTCATTCTACTATGATTTGTCCCCACATTCCATGGAGACTGCTCTTGACCAGACTCACATTGTTGAATCTACTCATCTTGCTTTACCTGCAGCATTTGACATGGTTGGCACTATGTTCATTGAGTCCCAAGAAGCCACTCACTTTCACGGTTCTCCTTCTACATGAGAACTCTTTCTCAAAGTCCTTTACTAGTTCTCCTCATTGCCCTAACCTCTTAAACGCTGATGTGTTGTGAGCCTCGGTCTTTGGACCTCCCATTCTCACTGTCTAACCTCTGCTTGTTGCTGTTGTTACATGACATTGGGTCATTTCTGACTCATAGTGACCCTGGATAGGGTTTCCTATGAGTGGCTAGTGGGTTTGAACCACCAAATCCAGTGCTTATCCTACAGTGCCTCACCAGGACACCACATCTACACTTCAGGTGAGCTTATTTAGCTCCAGGAGTTTAATTTCTGTCTTTATATGGATAATATTCAGGTTGATATCTTTCTTCAGAATTTTAGATTCATATATTCTACTGCCCACTCCATGTCTCCCCTTGAATATCTTCAACATCTCAGCTTAATACACCCCAAACTGAACTCCTGAGTGTTGTTGTTAAGTGCCATTGAGTTGATTCCCACTCACAGC